CACCGAATGAGCAAATAAAGGAAATTGTCAAAAATACTCTTCCTCAAACACACTATGACATCAAAGGTTGCACAATACTTACCTTCAAAGAAGACTTACCATTACTGAAGGAAAAAATAACAGAATATTTCGATAACTTCAAAGAGGAAGAATGAAAACTTACCGATTTCAATGAAAAACATTAACTTTTTGACGAAGTGAAGATTTGCACTTTGACAAAATTTAATGAAAAACATTAACTTTTTGACGAAGTGAAGATTTGCACTTTGACAAAATTTAATGAAAAACATTAACTTTTTTGACGAAGTGAAGATTTGCACTTTGACAAAATTTAATGAAAAACATTAACTTTTTGACGAAGTGAAGATTTGCACTTTGACAAAATTTAATGTAGGGCTGTACAAGATTTAAAAAAACATTGCCGGGTTACCGTAGAGGCCTAAAAAAATCGCGCCTCGGCGGCAAGCCGCCTCGGCATTAAGAATGCGCATCTAAATTTTTATATGTCCTTCTTTCTTTTATTTTTCCCTTCCCTTCCTTTTCTTTTTCTTTTTTTCCCTCCTCTTGCTCTCATTTACCTTTTTTTTCCTTTTCTCATCATTTTTCAAAATTTTAAATTTTTATCAAAAATCTTGCCTATAAAAGCAGATTATGGAACCTTTTGATGCCTCTTAATCAATATTATACAGCATAAAGCATATTAAATGAAAGTAATTACGTATAAATTTATTTTATTATCTTATTTATTAATTCTTTAGCATGTATTGTTTAATATTAACTTTTCTGTACATTAAATATGATATCTCCAAAGTATGAATGCCTTGTAACGAAACGAAAACTTAATTTTATGTTGAATATTTGTCACAAACATTAGATTATTAAAATATATGTTGGATATCCCTTAGTATGAGACTTCATGACTCTTGTTGTCTAACGTGAGCTTTGGATTGCAAGCTTGCTACAGCACATAAGTATTCTGTGGTTAAAAAACCACATGAGCTTTAAAAACTATAAAACCAAAAATAATTGTTATAATTGAAATGAAGAAGTAATTTAAAACGATTTTATTTATGATCAAATTTTATATATTTTTTTGGATCAAATCCATTTTAATAGAATTTATATACTATTCATCTATTAGTAAACACTACCGTATATTATTTTTTAAGCTATCTTATTTTTTGAAATTTTATTCAAATCTTTGGTCGCAAGAAGAATTGCATGATAAATAAAAACATTTAATCAAAGTCAATTTTATTTTTCATATTCAAATGATGAGTGAGTGTTAACATTTAACATTTTTTGCTAATTGTCGTCAAAAATTAGGCGTAAAGCAAAAATTGATATTTCATATGGTTTTATGATAGATAAGCATTATATTCCCACTCATTATATTCGTAAATTTTGAGGTTTATCCTTCGCTTTTAAGATCATTGAATTTGATTTTTATATAAAATAGTTATATATTAGAAAATAATATGAGTTTATATGATATTATTTTTCAGAAGATTTCATTCTATATGCCTATGAAAAGTACTCTCAAAACTAACTTTTTCCTAATTATAATTAAATCTAGAATATTGTATTATGCTTAGTATTATTTCATTTTTCTCATTCAATTTAGAATTTACAAATGTCAAAAAATTGAGAGCTGTCACTTTTGATGAATTTCTGTTTATTACAGCATTGTTATTAATAATGAAAAATAAAGCTTATTTCAATGAAAATTGTTCTGCAAATTTATTTCACTTTTGACCTCACTTTTTCCGTAATTCAATTTTTTACTTTTAATATTTTAGATCTTCATAATATCATTTGAAAAATTAACCATATAAAAAAATCAAGTTATCAATTCACTTTTTCCGTAATTCAAAAATCAAAAATATAAATAATATATCTTTTTATCAAATATTATTATTATATTCTATGAAAAATGAGGTCCGGTAATTTTGCGGATTCCCGTAACTCAATTTTACGGAAAAAGTGCAGTAAACTATTCAAAATACGGAAAAATTGGTGTAAACTAATGATTTTACGGTAAAATCACGGAAAGTCCCGGAAGAATATATGTGCCTATATGAAATTATACAAAAATGAATCAAACGCATTTTAAAAGATTGTTCTTGTATTATAAATGCTATTCGCAGATTTATTAGTTGAAGAAAATTACCAAATTTTTGCCGATTTACAAAAAATGATTTACAAAGCATATTTTTATAAGGCTTTAAAAATCTTTAAAATGTGACCGGTGACGGAAATCCATGGTAACCAACCGCGGTTCCCGTTTGGAATGCCATAATTTAATGAAAAAGTTAATGAAAACTTACCGATTTCAATGAAAAACATTAACGTAAACATTAACGATAAAATTTATTTCCTGGACTGTTGTCAAAATGTCATGTTGTCATCATTTTTAAAAGAAGTTAAATAACCTGGTAGCACATGGTAACATGGTAACACCATCAGTTCTTCAAAAATATATTTTTGCTTAAATAGCTTCAGGGTCTATTTCTTCAACCATTTCACTTCCTTCGTCAATGTCAATAGAAGCTTCTTCAACCTTTGGTAAGAATTTCTGTATAACATCTTTGTTCGTTATTGTCTTCAGAGATGAAGGATAATATTTCACATTTGTTTCACCTTTCTTATATTCTTTCTGTTCGGAAAGATTTAAAGCAATACTGAAGAAGTCAATATTAGAGTTCTTTATAACAGTATAATGAGTATCTTTGACATTCACGAAGAAACTCTTTTGTTTCAAAACTACTGCTAACTCTTGTGAAGTATATACGTTTGCGGTCAATGACGATAGCTAATGGTCTGACATACTGACCAAACTTAGATTCTTTCACAAACTTCTTGTTAAAGATAACATTAACGTTTGAAGCACCATTGAACTCATTCTTGATGGCAGTAGCGAGAGCATTGTATGAAAAGAACTTGCAATCTTGCATGTGTTTCATTAAAATAAAAAGTTCGAAATATTTTAAACTAGCCTTAAAAAATCTAAGCTAATTTTTTTCTAAGAAATTTTTTTATTTCCTACTAAAGATGTATCGGAAGTTGTCTAAGTTAGAACACTCGGAAATAAAACAACTTCTTACAGAAGCTAATATAGATGTTGCAAAAGCATTACGCAACAAAAAAAGGCACTCGCTGACATCCTCAATGACTACAATGGTGAAATAACTTATGATAGAATTCATGAGTTCATAAATGCAAGAGCATTCCTTTAAATGACGTTGCTATTGACTTATATCATAGACGTTTCAGTACCTCATGAAGTAAGGCGTGAGATGTTTGACATAACAAATGCGAACGTTGGTCATACTCGTAAAGCTCTTTCTCATGATGTTCGTCAAGAGATGTTTGAACTTACGAACTCAAACGTTGGTGAAACACGAAAGAGAGATGACACACTGAAACAACAGAGAAGAGAGATGTTTAAAAGAGCTATAGAACAAGTTCGTAAAGCTAACGATGTCATTCGTTCCATTGACGACAAACCAAAAGAAGGTGAGAGATGGTTAAAGAAAGATGAAGAGAATAGGAAGAGAAATGTGAAGTCAGGCAATAGACTCATTGACTTTAACATCGAAGCTTTAGATGAACCAAACAGAGACTACTTACACAAACATTTCGGTAAGGTTTTCATGAGACTCTTAGAGAAAATTAAAATAAACTCACAACAGAGATGGATGGTATGTTATAAACTTGGTGGAAAGTATGAATGTTCTACGTTAAACCTCAATAATATTGGAACATTACTACATCAGCTCTTGAAGGAGAACTTTATATCAGAGATAGAAGCAAATGCTGCAGGTATTGTTGAAATGCACTATGACTTCTTCTTGACAAACATAAAGAATCTTACTGAAATAAAGATGTATGATTTAACAGAATATGAAGGCTTAACGATGTCAGATGTAAAGAAAGGCAAACCAAAAAAAAAGACCATATAGAGATGAAAGCACACTGACAAATGACCAGAAAGCCATTTTGGAAGCTCTTAAGCAAACAGGAAACCCAGCACTTATAGAAAGCTTTTGGAAAGATAATGGTGAAAAGAAGTTTTATAAGAAGAGAAGCGGTCAGTTCTGGAAGTATCTTTGCACATTACCTATAAATCTTGAACGCTACCAAATCTTCAATGAACTGAACAAAAGAACTGCAACACTTATGACAGAGGACAATTGTTTCGTTTATGCTTGCATTCAGGCTGGAGTAAATGAAGAAACTATTGACCACATGAGAGAAGTCATTCGTGTTAGAGACTTTCCTCAAAGTAAAGTACAAGAAAATTTCTGACGCAACAGGTATAGCATTTAATGTTACCATTGGTTATTTCAATGACTCAAGACATAATGAAATAAAGAGATACATACCAAAAGAATGTGAAACTGTTAGAACTATTGACTTACTTCTTGTTGAAGACCACTACATGCTAAACGAAAGATTACCAATGACAACATATTTCATTCGCAACTATATAGAAATTCTCAAAGCTGTGTGGTGAATGAACATTGAGAAACAGATGAAGATTTATACAAAGAGAGAAGATAAATATGTAGTTCGCATGGATAGAACTACACCGCTATGGATGTTATGAAAACATTGTGGGAGTGCAAATATTCGAACCTATTTCTTATGGAGAACTTTTCACATATACGACTGACTTATATAAACAGAACCTTGCACCATTTAAAGATTTGACATATGCTCCAAAGTATTGTGTACAACTGAAGAAGAAAGCCGAGTCAAAAGAAGTAAATAAAAATAAGTGCAAGTTCATTCCTGAGCACGTTTTCTTTGCTGACTTTGAGTGTAGTACCGATGGCTTTCATAAAGCTTTTAACATATGTTACGACAGTGAAGATGGTTCAGTGAGTGAAAGCATTTGGGGTCAAAACTGTGCAACAGAATTTTTGGAACGACTTCCTGACAAGAGTTTAATATATTTCCATAACCTCAGTTATGATATAAACTTCATCTTAAGACACATGACAGAAGTGAAAGGAACTCCCATCATTAAAGGTTCACGAACAATGCAAATAACTGGCTTATATAAAGGAAGGACAATTATTATAAAAGACTCTTACAGTGTTATAAATAAGAAGCTTAAACTATTTCCTGCTATGTTTAACTTACAAACAGGACCGAAAGAAGTATTTCCATATAACTACTACAGCAGTACTTTGTTAGCAAATGACAACAGAACTGGTGTCATTTCTGAAGCATGTAAGTTTATCCGGGATGCAGATACATTCATGAAAAACATAGATTCCATCAAAGGTTGCAGAATAGATGAGAACCACTTCGACTTAGAAAAGTATAGCACATTTTATTGCAAACAAGATGTAAGAATTTTAAGAGAAGGTTTTGTTAAGTTCCGCAATGACATATTGAAAGAATTTGATTTAAACGTTTATGACTACGTTAGTATTTGTTCAATTGCTAACAAATTATTTGAGAACAGAGTGTACTTCCCGAATGGAAATTTATATGACCTCTCAAATAAACCAAGAGAATTTATTTCGAGATGCATTCAAGGTGGAAGATGTATGCTGTCAGATAACATGAAACAAAAGAGCGAAAAGAAACTCATTGCTGACTTCGACGCTGTTTCATTATATCCATCAGCAATTGCAAGATTGTATACTTTAGAAGGAATTCCAAAAGTATTGAAGGATGAGATGTTAAGCACAGAGTATCTCATGAGACATTTATTCGATGATGACCAAAAGGAACCCATTGGTGAAAAGTTTATGTCTGGCTTCTTTGTTCTCATTAAGATAACAGAGATTGGAATACATAGACACTTTCCTTTAATAGTTTGTGACCCTGAACTAAATCCAGAACTTAACGTTCCCAGAAGTTCAAACACTTGCTGTTTAATGTATGTTGACCATATAACATTACAAGACCTCATAAAATATCAAGGTGTCAAATGTGAAGTGTTGCAAGGATACTATTACGATGGAAACAGAGATATTAGAATAAGAGATGAAGTAAAGAAGTTGTTTGAGTTAAGGTTAAAGTATAAGAAAGAAGGAAATCCTTTGCAAGAAAATATAAAGCTCATTCTGAACAGTATTTATGGCAAAACTATTCTATCTCCTATTGAGTCAAAAATAACCATAGTAAATGACAAAGATGCTATAAGATATGCCATCAGAAACTACAACCATATAGTGAAGTTCGAAGGTTTGGATGGTTCAGATAAAACTATTTTCAAGCTAACGAAAAGCATTTGCAGACACTTTAACTTCTGTCCACTTGGTGTTAATATTCTATCTATGTCGAAGAGAATAATGTGTGAAGTATTCTGTACTGCTGAGGACTTAGGAATGGACATCTTTTATAGCGATACCGACAGTATGCATCTCTACAATGAAGATATCTCATGTTTAGCTGAAGAGTTTGAGAAACGTTATGGAAGAGTTCTCATTGGTAAAAACCTTGGTCAATTTCATAGCGACTTTGCAGAAATCACACCTGGAAAACAAAGTTTAGCATACAAGTCAATATTTTGTGGAAAGAAGACTTACATAGACTTACTCACGAATGATTTAAATGAAGTTGCATTTCACTGCAGAATGAAAGGCGTGAAGCAAGATGTTATTGCTTTAACCGCTAATGAAATGTTTCCTGACTCTGTTCAGTGTTTCTATGATGAAGATAAAGGTTTAATGGTTCCGCAAGGAACATATGACAAAGACTCTGAGTTCAGTTTAATGAAACTTTACAAAGCACTTTATGACGGTCAAGAGATTGGATTTGACTTATGTAAGTCATGTCAACCTTGCTTTGAAGAGAAGTTTAACTTTTCTATTCAGACTAAGACTTCATTCATAAGAAAGCTTAAGTTCTGAGGTCATGAATGAGAAAAATAATGAGGTCATTTATTTTTGTCAGCAATGAGGTCATTCGTGATAAAAATAAAACTAGCGGCAAGGGCGAAGCCCATGTGGTCATTTACAATACTGCGATGGTAGAGTTTAAGAGTTGTGCTTCAATGTAGAGACAGTCCTTATGGTCTGGAGGTAAGAACACTGGGCAGTTATGGTCATGAGTGGAGAACATGTCTATCCAAAACTCACGATTGAAGCCAGTTAATTTATAGTATTTAGGGTTAGGAAGTGGTGAAGTTCTTGTATGACCAATGAACTCATTTTCAACTCCCTTACTTAAGTTTGAATATAATATAGCTTGCTTTCTATCCCAAATGCCAGGTGTTACAATCTTTGAAAATTCATTTTTCCTCGGAAGCATTGCATCATAATTGAAAACATTCTTGAAATCTTCATTGGGTTCAGAGATTTGAAATCTTATACGTAATGGATTTTCTTTCTCTTTAGCGACTTCATTGAATGGTGAATATATAACAAACTGACAGTCATGAGTTCCATCTTCATTTTCATTAAATTCATAATGAAAGTCTATAAGTTGTGGCTGACTACCTTCTTCTTTCAGTTGTGCAAGAAACTCACGTAAAGGCTGTAAAGTTTGTACTTCAATGTTGAACTTTTTCTCGAACATCTCATTAAATGAAATCATACATTGCAACAATGTTGTATCGTCTTTAAAGTATTTGTATATGTGAATGTTTTGGGCGCTTAAAGACTGTTCGTCATTTTCTATCTCGACTTGAAGTATAAAGTCAACCTTTCTGAAAGCACGTGTTATATACATAGATGTTATGCCAATGTACTTCTCTTCATTTATGTTCACAATCCAGTCTGTTGGAAACTTAAACGTTACTCTGTTCCCCTTTATTTTGACGTCAGGGTTTTCACTACTGAACGCAACAGTTAAAGGTATTTGTCTATACATTTAATTCGGATAAAAATAAACCATTTACTCTTTCTTTGCTTCAGCTTCTTTAGCTTTTGCTTCAGCTTCTTCTCTAGCTTTCTTCGCCAGCAAACGTGGGTTCTTTTGTCTTCCAGCAGCTAATGCAGCAAGTTGTTTTTCACTAAGTTTTCTCTTTGGTCTCTCTGGCTTTTGTTCTTGTTTTTGTTCCTTCAGTTCGGATAAAATTTGCTCGCGAATTTCTTTCTTCAATGCTTCAACATCTATGACCCCCTGGGTCTTGTCCGTAGGACTTGTCTGAGTCATTTGACTGCAGATAAAAAAACAAAATTAAAACTTTAACCGATGTAAAATGAGCTTGTCAAAATCAGAGCGAGAGTCTATTATATTAAATGACGCAAGAGGAATACAACATCCTTTCTATTACGTAAGTCAGAGTAAAGATGGTAAAATATACGTAAGTCAGAGTAAAGATGGTAAAATATACGTAAGAAAAAGAAAGGTTCCATTAGCGAATGCAGAAAGCGACAACATTAAGGTGTATGGCAAGGGTGAAGTCCACGAAGCCCATATAAAACCTTCTGTTCAAACTGAAAAGTCAATAGAACCAGAAGAAAAGAAGCCAGATGTACTTTCAATAATGAACCAAGAGCTTATTGCAAAGTTCGTGAATTTCATTGAAAAACAAACCGAGTCAAAGAACCCTGACCCACCAGTGAAAGAAGTTGAGACAAAAGAGAATGTACAGTTCATTGAAAATGTCAAGAAACAACTTCCACCACGAATGCCAAGAAGAAGAGTGAGAATAATGAAGTAAATAGATATTTTTATCTGAAGTAAATACATGCAGAACGAACAGCTAAACGAATTTACTCCAGCAGAGCATATTCATCAGATTCGCTCATATTTCGATATCATAGACAATGCAGTTCAAATTGGTGACACTAATAGAAAATATTCTGACGCAAAGATTCCATCACAACCTGGAACTGCTAAAGATAACACATGGGTAACATTCAATCTCTCACCTCCTGGTGAAAATATGTTGGACCTTTACAATACATTCATTACGTATAAAATGGAAGGTCAATTTATTGTAGATAAAGAAATTGGTTCAGGTTCCAATAAAACAAACCCACCAGGATTTTGGATTGGTTTCGATGACGCTTTCTATGCAGTTGCTGGATATCAAATCCTTGCAAATGGTCGTATCGTATATTCTCAAGACAACGCAAGAGAAGAAGCATATATAACTTCAAACTCACAAACTACCGAACAAATAAAGAAAGTAGATGTTTTCTCAAAGACTCGACATGAAGATGTATGGAGTCATTCGGGAACATGCAGAACAGGACAAATTGTTAGTGGTCCAATTACAGCAGGAAAATCATTTGATTTTAAGCTTCGTTTAAGAATTCCTGTTAGAAGATTCCTTCCATTAGAAGCTATTCGATTTATTCCAGCTTTTGCAGGAAACATTCAGCTTAAAGTAAAGTTCAGTAGCGACGCCTTACAATGCACATCTATATCTGTAAATGATATCATTGCTTTCAATCCAACTCTTAAAGTTGCATTTGCTTCAGATTCAAATCCACCGACAAATAAATTTGTTCCATGGAATGAACCATTCACTATGATAACGAAGGCAGTAGAAGCTAGTGGAACAGTTACTATTACAACTGTAACCCAGCAACTATTTCGAACAAAGATGGATTTTAATGAATGTTTCATTCATCCAAAGTCATTCTCTTTAGACCCTAACATTTATACAGAACTTGTAGAACATTATACAAACGAGGCTTTATGTTTTCCTGTTAAAGTTATGGATTGGATTCCTATGGACGGTTCATTCTCAAAGAATACAGATAGTTCAAGTGCAACATTTACAGCAGCTTATACGCCTATTAATGTTAAAAGTATTTGGGCACTATTTAGAAAGAAAGACAACTATTATGTTAATTTTGAGAACCCTAAGTTTAAATATCTTCAGCTTTCCATGGGAGCTTATGGAAATATGCCTGCAGAACCTGAAAAATCATATGGACCTGTATTTTATGAAATGGTTGCGAACGCCTGCAATACAAACAATGATATGATAGGATTTAATGAAGATGTTATGAGGTCATTGGTGGATGATGGTAGTGTGGAACATAAATGGGATAGCTATGACAACACACATTTCTTATGTGGTTTTCCAACAGAAGTGGACTTTTGCTTCCAGCAAGGTCAAACATCTACTGCTCCAATAACATACAAATTGTCTGTTAAAGGACCTATTGAACTAGCAACTGAAAACGTACCAAAGCCACTTATTGGATTTATGAGGGATTGTTGCTTTGCCATTCAGGTAAGACAGTCAGGCATCCCCATAATAAGATTAGATGACTATAACTTAGCCACGGACGACAGTGAGGAATAAAGGATGAACGTTTATTTTTAAAGCTTATAAATGAGTTCTTCATCAAGCTCTCGCGAACCTTCACCATCTATGAAACAAACTTTACCAAACGATTATGGAGCACCTATTGAATATTTCTTACGAGCTGCACAATGGCAAAGAGCAGTCTCACCAAGGTTAGGTGTTCCACCAGCTCCTGTCAAAAATAGCATTTGGTCAAGTCCTTATATAAAATATGGTCTCCCACTAGGTTTGCTAGCTACAGCAGGAGCAGTTATGATGTTGAAAAGAAATAAAGCAAATGTTGTAAATAATACTGAAGTAGCTGAAGTTAAACAAACTCCAACACCTTCACAAGCAAAACCTTCAATGACTCCTGAACCTATGGAAGTACAAACTCCTGTTCAAAAGTCAACTCCTAAACCGACTCCAACATTTAAACCAGAACCTACTCCTCAAATAAATCGTAAAACTCCTGCGTTTCCTTACTGAAAAAATAACGTTATTTTTATTTAATATTAAAAATTTTATTTGATTGAAATGACGACTAAAGTCACTGAAGCAATGAAACAAAAGTTTTTGGTAGAATACATTAAATCAGGAACTATTCCAGAAGGTTTTTACATTCATACTATGAAGGATGGTAGAGTTCAGTTTAGAAAGATAAAGCAACCATTAGATAGAGAAGGTATATTAAGGAAGATTAAACTTCATGAGGACAACATTGCTGAACTTAAGAAGAAGTTAGAAGAGTTGGAGAAAGGAAGAGAGTTATAAAGCAATGAATTCAACAGGGTGAAAAAAGAGGGTAGAAATGAGGTTAGATCTACCCTTCTACCCTAAATTTATTTTTGCGCTATGTTTTCATACGTGTGAGGGTGGTGATATCATTAATTTTTAAGTTTATTTTTATATAAATGACGAAAACTATTGAGATAACAAACTACAACGGTCATGAGTTCAAGAATTTGTTCTTCGTTCCTCGTGAAAATACATTCTATCAGATACGAGGGAGAAAGGGTAAAGTTAGTTTGAGCGTTTATGAAGGAATGAAGAATGGAAAGTTTATACAAGCATATGATACAAACGGTAAGCGTGTTTCATTAGCTTTGTCAAAACTTACTAACATTTATTTTGACAGTGATTTTGACCTATATGAAGAAGAAAGTGAGTCAGAAGATTATGAGCTGTTATGTGAAGCACAGCAATGGGAGGAGTTGCAATACTTTTGTAAGTGAGAACGTTTATTTTTACATTAATGAAGTCATTAGTGGTTGGCGGTTTGTAAATATTTAAGGTTAAGTTAGTGTTGTCGTTTGTGTTGTAAAATATACGTTACTGGTTTTGTAAATATTTAAGGTTAAGTGGTGTACGGAGGCGCGCAGTGCCTCAGTACACGACTTAGCCATACTAACTGATTTATGATGTATGGCCGAATTTTTATCACTGCGCATTATTGTTGCCACCGATTTCTACATGAATACCGAATTATGCGCATAAGAGTATTAAAGGTTCTCTTTATATTATGAATAGAAGATTTGCTAAGAAATATTTCTTACATTATTAGCGTTTATGATATGATCATTGAAATAAAAGGAGTAATTAATTGGATATTAAAATGCGAATTGATAATGCAAGAACAGATTAAATTATAATCGAGATATGTAATTATTGCACACCCATTGGATGACTGGCCAAACATGCTTCCAGAAGAAATAGGTGATGGCATCTCTTCACGTCCATTCGCTATTACAATATCATAAAAGTACAATCCTGAGTAATGAATTGACTTTCCAGTATGAATAATATTATCTTCTGTCGAATTTTCAGCAATCGCATCACAGCCTTCGTAACCACTCACAAAGCTCGATCCTCCACTAGCCGATCCTGCATATGCAATACCTCCACCTCCATAATATCCGCCACCACCATTTGGCCCTGTATCATGCAAGAAAGCTCCTGATCCACCAATCCCAAACCTTCCAGAAACGCCACATGCATACGGGCTGAAGGTTTGACAACCGTATAAACCTCCTGAGATCTGCGTACCACCAGTTGTTACGTTTGTTTTATACACAGCTGTTGAAGATATACCTACAAGACCTCCCCATCTCCACCGCAGATTCTTTCTCCGCTCCCTGCACCAGCCGCAACCATAATACGACTTTTTAAAGACTCAAAATCTGACCAAACATCTGATTTTTTGAGGCGAATATCGGTTGCACCGCCTCCAGTTTGAGATGACAAATTTTGTTTAACATTTCCATTAAATGATTGAGTAGAGAGTTTCCCAACTTCTCCAATATATACGTATAAATCTTGAGATTGATTTAAATATATTACTCCTGATACGTATCCTCCATTCATATTTGTATCAGTACAATTTTTTATATCGACATGATCAATGTAACCACCTGCACCCCATAGCTGAATTCGATATCTTCCTTCAATTGCATGGAAAACATCATATGTGCCCGTATAGTTAAATATTTTGACTCTATTTCGATCATATTTTGTATAAATACCTATGAAAAAGACAAAATTATAAACTACTAACCAAAATAATTGATTTTTTGTGAAGCAAAATTTTTATGAAAGGTTTTTAAAATCTATTTGATCATGTGTTTACCCTTTAAATCAACCATTTATCATTTCAATTGAACTAGCTATTCAAAATTCTGAAGGAAATTTTCATCCATACTCTTAAATCTATTCATAGTAAATAAACTGTATATTAAAATTAATGTATAAAACGAAATTCGTGTTACTTTTCTTCATTTTTCACTTCTTCGTCAAGAAAGACCAATCTTAGAACATTTAAATTAAAACCTTACGAATATGGAATGATCAATGGCGAAGTGTATTTGAAAATATTCTATCATGATGTCGATAAAGGAGGATTTTTTGATAGCGTCGCTCAGGCTAAATATAACCTAGATGAAAATAGATATTCAATTATATCTAATATCACAGATGAATTTAGAGATTCTGATGGAAAATTTACATTTCTGATATTATATCCAACTTTTGGAAGATATAATATTTGGCAGCAATCAAACTTTCCTTTACAAGAACCTAAGTTTACATCATCCCGAGAAAAACTATCCCCTGTAGAGGGATTCAATTCAATCAAGACATTCGCAAACCATTCAGAAATTAATTGCACTTGGGGAGGACTTGTTCTCACAAATTATCCCTATTACCTTCTCGATGGATGTCCAAATGGCATAAATTGGAATTTTGCAATTGGATATACCGGCGCAAACACAGTTTTTCCTGATAGTATTCCTGCAGATGTTGGAACTACCAAGATCGTAAGCCTTTGGATGAAATCTATGCAAGATAAGGCAATTTATTTAGATTCATGTAAATTATTTAACTGCTTTAGATTCAGTATATCGTATCCCACTTTTATTTTATTAGTTGTTACATAAAATCTTATCAATATTACAATTATCATATATAAATCTAGTATGTCAATCGAAAATATAATAAACAACAGCCATAGATCAATACATATAGTTTGTCTATCTACCTTCAGAATTATACATATAAATTTTCATAATCCAATTAAATTAAAAAAAAAATCTATTCATTTGATAGTCTTAGCTTCCAAATCATTGTCTTTACGATTTATAATTTGATATATATATATATCAGATATTTGATAGATGGACCGCAGAGATCTTCAAGATTATTGCTCGATTTTAAAAAAGAAGAAAGCAAAGAATAATTATTTATCTTTAAAGTTTATTCATACGTTGACATTATTTAGCCAAATACTGTGATATACTTCATATACTCTGCCATAGATCCTGAATGTTTAGACCTACCTTGTAGATATCTATATGGCCCAGGGCCGCCACTTTTTTCAATTCTAGTCGTTATATTTGATCTTTGAGAAGAAGAACTGCTCTTCGATTGGGATGATCCTTGCTTAGAACTCATCTCTTAAAAATGAAATGATTTCAAATTTTTTTGTCAAGAATTTTATTTCTAGTCAAAAACTTTTTTCCTAGTCAAAAATGCAGATTTTTTGGTAGAGTATATGAGTATGATAACTAGATTTGGATAAATAAAATAAATTAAAATTCTTTATAAATAACGCACAAAAAAATATACAAAATAAAATACAAAAAAATTACTTACTCGAATTCTTAATTTCTAACGCTGTCTGAGCAGTACAAGCAACAGCAGCAATGACCGTAAATAGAATAGAAATCAATGCCTGAACGGTTCTGTACCATTTTCTATTAGGAGTTGCTTTCATGAAGAACAAAGCAGGGAACAATAAAGTAACAACAGGAATCAAAATTCCTCCAACAATGTTGAAGAAAATCAAAATGTTACTTGATGTTGCTGCAAGGCCAGCAGATAACAAACAAAGAATGAAACCAGTGAGAATCCATCTTAAGTTTGTCATCTCTTTTCCTTTAAACAATGTTGCATCAACTGAGTTTCTTGCTGCCCAAATCATCAAAGGCGAAGAAACTAAAAGAATAAAAATAACGCAAACAGTTGCAACAATAGTAAATGGATTCTTTGCTGGATATAATTCAAGGGCTGATGATGCAGACAACAAATCAAATTTGTCAAGATATGTACAGATACCAAATGTTGCATACAAGAAGAAACAAGCAGTGATAATTATACCACTTAATGTAATTCCTCTCTTAACAGTACAATTCCTTAAGTGTTCGAGTGTTGGGAACAAGTTTATGATGCAATTATATGACATTGTGTTGATACCAAGGGCAGGAATGAAAATTAAGATGTCCCAATGGAACAATGTGAGTTCTTTGTTAGGATCAAATCCATATTCTTTGACATCTTTGATCAACCAGTATAAACTGTGCGAAATTAAAATTAATATCAACAAAAAGCCAACGGAAGAAGCAATTTCAAGCTTGGCAATGGACTTTGGAATAGTCATTGGGAAAGCGAGTAACAATGTTGTTGCAAAATTCCAGAATTTGTCGCTATTTAATACTTTGATTTTCAAACCAAGAGTTCTGTTAACTAATACGCCGTCCCAGTTGGAATATATCATCACTGAACCAATTTGGACGAGGAAAATGAATAAGTCAAGTACCCAAATAAATTTTGGATTGAAAAGATGAGTAAAGAGACCTCTGAAGTCATATTTCTTTGTAATGAAGGCTGCTTCAATCATCATTGTGAATGTACTGAATGTAATTATTCCAATAATGATTGCAATTAAAAGAGCAGAAACGATACCGAGTCTGTAACAATATGGAACCATCAAACAACCGGAACCAATTGCAGTATTGATAAGAATGACAAATGCACCAAACATGCTCTGATCCCCTGTTGTTTCTTTTTCGAAAAGTTGTGCATTGAAATTAATTGTTTGATTGTCTGATTTATCATCAATTGAACTTGACTTGTTCTCTGTATCTGTGGAGTAACTTGATTTATTGTCTATATCACTGAGATCGTGCTGATCTTCCATATCAAATAATGAATTTAAA